AGAATTCTCCCTTATAGCTGATTGGATTGTACTAACAACTTTCAAACATTTTCAGTTGTGTTAGAACATAGTAAATACTAATTTTAAAGGCAGCTCTTTGAGGCATGTACTATTTTCTTGACTTTGAGTAGAAAAGTTATCGGGAATCTTATTCTGATAAGTTAAATGTGAAAATTTTGTCAAATAGGAATTTTCTTAAAGTTGGTTTTTAAAAATGAGTTTTATGTTCTAAAATACTCTCTCTGATTGCTTTTAGGTTACCTAGGGTATGCATTAATACAGACTTGGAAACTGAAAGAACTTAGAATCAGCATTTTGAGGTAAATATGTACATACTAAAATAGTGCTAAGGTTTCCCCATACTGCCTTGTTAACCTTCTAGCAAACCAAACTTGTCTCTAAAATGAGAAAGTGTGACCTGTGCTCACATGTCCTCGCACCCGCGAGACGAGACAGAGACGTGTGGCAGTTGCTTTCCCCAAGCTGCTGGTAGTGAAGGCCCTGCCCTCGAGCGTAATGAGCACAAGCAAGAGTCGGGGTCACTTCTAACCAGATCAACACCTGGTGATGAAATTAAGCTTTCCATCTCCATACTTGACGCTTCCCTCATTTTTGATTTATAATCTCTGAGGAGAACCCCACTGTTTATATTTCTTTATAACAATATTGTTGAACTGTGTTCTGAATTCTTTTATTCGTGAATGAATTCCGTAAAAGAGTTTATGGTGTGGATTTAACTGTGGGGTTTTTAATTCCATTTTGAGAAGTTGAAATTCCTGACCAATTGCATACATGTATCGAGGTGATTTGGATTTCTCAGCCAAGTGCCTCTTCTGGTGATCTTTCTTTCTTTTGTATATGTGAATTGAGGAAATAACCCATACTTGTCGTCGTCTTCTTTTTTTCCCCCATTGTCCTAGCCACTATCTTTAGATTTTCTTGTACTCATTTTGAAATCTTTTCTCGGACTTGCCTCTAATGTTTTCTTTCCCCCGGATCTCTAGGAATTAGGCGTGCTATTGTTGCAGCTCATTCTCTTGTTCTTTGTTTTAGAGAGTAAGACTTTGTATTCTAAAATAATCCAAATGTCTTTTGTTTAAAATTTAATACCAAATAATAGCCTTGAATTTAACTCTTCATATCAATAGGGGTTTCTTGTAGATGTGCTTATATTCCATTTAAGTACAGGAATCTTACATTTGGCTATTTTTGCATTTATTTTTAGAGCAGAAGCTTGAGCATGCTGTGATTTTCCAATAAACTGCTATCACAATGTCAAAATGCAGTTCAGACAACAGCAACACAGAGATCTCAAACATTAAAACGGTAAATCTGTGATTTATCATATTTGGAAAGAGGAAGAGAGTTTATTCGTGTGTTTTCCTCCATTATTTCTGAGTGAATAATATATGGAAGTTATGAAACAACCTCACTGATTTCATGAATGTAAATTGTCTGGCCAGACAGTTAAAATCTGTGATTGAAAAACAGTCAACGGAGAGTTGTCTGTTGGCTCTGGGAAAGCAGCTAACCAATAGTCAGTTCATCTGTGAGACTACAAGACTTCTACTGACCCAGGGATTCAGAACTTTTCATTATGACCAAGTGAAGAAAAAAAAAATCTGTTTAAACATGTCAAAGAAAATAAAAATTGGCATAATTGTAGATTTTTCTGTTTTCGCATTATTGGATTACCTTTTGAATTTTTTCATCTTGGGTTTGTGTTCCCTAACTCTGGGGCCAGCCACTGTATAGGAAATGAAGGAGGATTAACTTAGCTGTTACGACCTTATGGAGAAGTTCATTGAGAGGGTTCAACCGCTGTTCTCCATTTCCTTGCAGGTCCTCTCCTGCCCATCGCCCCCCACCCCCTGCCCTCACCTCGAGTAGAAGTGGAGAGGGTGTGGATTTCTAAAACATAGAGAAATAGCTTTTGAACTGTCATGATTCTGTTCTGTACGTTGTTGTGTGACACTCATGAACCTCTTGCTGAGTTTATGAGAAATTTACGTAAACGTATATATGGTATACTGTAGCAGGAAATTGAAGAGCTGCAGAAAATGCGACCTGCATCTTGCTCTTAGGGAGCACGTGTGCTGGTGAAGAATCAGGCGTGTACTTGTGTGTCTCTGTGCACATATGTGCAAGATGGCATAAAATTGGAAAGGCAGACAGAAGCTGTTGGAAATCTTTTTTTTTTTTTTTTTTTTAAGATTTTATTTATTTGAGAGAGAGAGCATGAGCAGGGGGAGATGGAGAAGCAGGCTCCCCACTGAGCAGGGAGCCTGATGTGGGGCTCGATCCCAGGACCCTGCGATCATGACCTGAGCCGAAGGCAGATGCCTAATGGACTGAGCCAACCCGTTGGAAGGTTTTTATGACACTTTTCATTCTACAAAGCTGCCCTGCTTGTTTGCCACGTTCTGGGTGTGGTTTGGTACAGCGGGTGACCCAAGTGTGTGAGACCTATAGCTCCTGTATGCAAGGAAATCCCAGTCCAACCCGTCATTTTTGTTTATTTACTTTTTAAAAATCTTTACTGGGAAATAATTTCAAATGTATGGTAAAGTTAAAAGAGTAAGCATAGGACAAAGAATATGTGCTTTGCCCCATTTGCTTTACCGGTTGCACACTTCTCTACCTGTATGTGGTTTCTTTTTCTGACCCATTTGAGAATAAATTGTGTACACTTGTGGTGCTTTACCCCTAGAGGCTTTGGGGTATATTTCTTAGGAATAAGGATACTTTGTTAAACAGCCACAGTGCAGTTATCAGCTTCAGTGACTTGAACAGTTTTATCAGGGCTCTGTGAGGCCGTTTATGGTGTTGTCCTGCAGTACAGGACCCAGTCTGAGATCACTCACTGCATTTAGCTGTTGTGTCTCTTTGTAGTCTTCTTTAATCTGGAACATTCCTGTAGTTTTTCTTTGTATTTTATGGAGTTTTGAAGACTAGAGATTCCCTTTTAAAAAATAGACTAGTTTTTAAATAGTCTTTTTTAGACTATCTCTCTGGAGTAATTAATTGTTATTATTACCACTGTTATCCCTATGAGAAGAAGTGGTGACAGAGGTGACAGTGGCAGGAGGAGGGGTGCTTGTGGGTTCCTGGCTGTATGTGGTGTTTGGAGGTGGAGGAAGAGGTATTTGGGGATTTACGTTGCTGCCTTCTTCCTGCTTTATTCTCTTCAGCTACCAGGATTTAGGCTTACTTCCTGACACCTTTTGCCATGTTTTGGATTGGTCTTGGATTAGCATTTGGCTTGGATGAAAAGTGAGCAGGTCAGGCTTGGGCATAAATAATTCCTGTAGGCAACCTATAGTAATGAAGATGTCGAGAGGTATCACAAGGACGGTAGTCAGGTGGGAAGTGCCTGCAGTGTCAGCCATGGGCCTCCAGAATGACCTGCTGTGTTTCCGGAGGGTAAAGTGGGTTTAACTCTGGGTTCTGGGCAGCCCTATGGAGTAAAAAGCTTGAGTCATGAACCTGAGGGTGTGCGACCACGGCACCTGAGGAGTTGAGCAAAGTGAACGCCAAGTGTGGGGTAAAAAGATGACTGTTGGGGCTTTGGTTGAATAGAGAAAGAACACTTGTGTCTCATGAAGAACTGAGTTGGTAGCTGTCAGAGTGGACTCTGGGATCCTTGGCTTGCCGTCTTCCTCTGAGAAGGATCATGAGAATGGTTGTGCTGTCTGGTCCGGTGGCACCTGCCCTGCTGAGGTCCTGGGCTCCTGCAGCCCCGTGCCCCCTACCGCTTACTTGGGGTCGCACTGCTGTTAGCCCGATGTTGAGTTGTTGTCAGCTGAGCTGATCTCTGAAATGAGGACTTGGTATCGTGCCCGTGCCTCAAAGAGACTACACTTGAGACTCCTTGTTGGATTAGGTGGGACAGCTTGAGTCACCGTGCTGAATCATGGTTGTACATTTCACGTGTCGGGAGATTCAAAGGTTCTTGTCAAGGAACAAAGAGTGGGCTTCTTTCTTTCCAGTTTCATAGAGTGTTAACAGTGAACACTCTGAAGCAGTATGAGAGTGAAAACCTCCTTGCGGGGGCAAGTAAATTCTGCTGGCATTCAGAAAGCTGATGGACTTTGACGGTGAGGTTTGAGACTCTAACCCTCTGTCTGCAGGTTAGGAGTTTTAAAAAGACCCAGGTTTTATAGAATCAAATTTATCTTTGGGAAAGCATACATGAAACACAGAAGAGTGCTTACGTACCATGAAAAACTCACAGAATGGTGCACTGTCTGAATTTATCTAGGATGTGTGTAATTTTTTTAAAGATACATATTTAAATAGTTGGTCAGCTGTGCCATTGTGATAGGTTGTCATTTGAGAAAAAGACCTTGTGTGTTTATGGGCTATGGATAAAATGACAAAATGTTGGCAGGCATTTGAATCTTTCTTACGTGCACACACATTGCTAAACGCCTTCCATCCATTATCTCATAAGTTTATCAATAGTGGCATCAAAGAATTGACAAAGAATGTTTGAAATATATTTATGCACATATCGACATGTTTCGTATATACGTATATGTTTAAAAAGGCATCATGTTCGTATTTTCTTTTAAAGGTATATCAGAAAAGGCATAGTTCTGTATCACTAAATACAGATACGGATTTTCTTCATGGGTTCAAAGTATTCCATTGTATAACTATACCATCATTTACATAGCTCACGTTTTTATTAATACATTCGAAAGGGTTTTCTTGCTTTCCAGTTATAATGCAGCAGTACGTATTCATGTACTTATATCTTTGTGTAGTCACCTAGTTCGTTTAGATAAGTTTCTAGGTGTAGAATTGCTGGGTTGGAGAGCGTAGAACACTTGACTTTTTAAAATGATCCCCTTAGATCAAGAAAAAGCTAAAACAATTACAGGAAAAGTTTGAAAGGGTCCATAGGAATGATATTCTTATGTTTCTCTTGTTTCTGTGCTTTCTTTTGTTCTTAACCCTGCATGGTGGTGTAATGGTATTCTTTTTCCCTTTTGTAGTAAGCTGTGCTAGAGCAAAATGCAATGAAAGAAGCACTGGATGAATGAAAAGCCCTGCTTTGCAGCCCCTCAGCATGGCAGGCCTGCAGCTCATGACCCCTGCCTCCTCACCAATGGGTCCTTTCTTTGGACTGCCATGGCAACAAGAAGCAATTCATGATAACATTTATACGCCAAGAAAATATCAGGTACTAATGAGAACACTAATACTGGAGCATTTTCACTAAAATGGAATAAATTAGCATATAGTTGACACGACTTATATAAAACCCATTTACCTTTTCAAGCTCTCCTCTTCTGATTAATTTTCTCATTCCAGATACTTTTGTTCTTAATAGTCCTTTTCTTTTCTAACATCTGCCGGGTAATTGATTTGATAGTTTTATTTGTGAAGTTCATTATTTTTTTTTTCCCTCTGAAAACCTTACTGCTCCTTAATACCCACTTGGGTATGTCTGTCCTCATGAGATGGGTAGGAATTGTTATTGGTTTGAACAACCATGAACTGGCCTGTAAACTCAGTCATTCAGATTCTTCTTGAGAAGTTTTCTGTCCCCTGCAAAAATAATTCTTAAGGAAATTATAAATATCATTCCATGCATCTTTACACAACACAGCTGTACAGTAACAGGCATTTTAATGCCTGTGATGATGAGTCTTATGTACAGATATAGGAAGTCTATTTTTTGGCAGATTTATCAGAGGGAGATTGTAGAAAACAGTGAAATTTCCTGAATTAAAACAAAATCCAGTTTTCCCAACTTTGTACTTAGATAGGAAGTGTATAATCTTTCCCCCCACTGTGTTTCTAGGTGGAACTGCTTGAAGCAGCTCTGGATCATAATACCATAGTCTGTTTAAACACTGGCTCAGGGAAGACGTTTATTGCAGTACTACTCACTAAAGAGCTGTCCTATCAGATCAGGGGAGACTTCAGCAGAAATGGAAAAAGGACGGTGTTCTTGGTCAACTCTGGTAATAAAAAAATTATTTTATGAAATTACGTGGAGGAAATTGGATGAGATTTTATGGTGAAGCACATTTTCTCTGTGGGCATTTAAGTTAGATTATTGAAAGTGTAGAGAGTTTGAGAAATCATGTATTTGTTCAAATTCTGGTAGCAGAGACATCATTTTCACTTACTTCTTAACTTTATAGTATGCCTCTTTTAAGTGTTAGCCATTTTATTCCACAGGGATTAAACTTCAGCTTTTTCCTTAAATGTAATTGCATTTAATTCTGATTCTGCATTTTTTGCTTGAGTGACTTCTTGGAACATCATCTAATCTAAGCCATGACAGTTATTTTTGCTTTTGATGTTTTAGCTTTGCAAAGTATGTCAAAAGGTGCTTGATTATGAGATCAGTAACTTTTTGATTTATGATTTTGCTATGCCAGTTACTGAAGGGAAGTTAGATGCTTCTTATAAAAGTTAGATATTCAGTAAGAGTTTATGATACTCGTTTTTATGTGTTTGGGATTATATATTAAGAATAGAAAATGTGGACCTAAGCTGCTAGGGCACTAATATAACCCTGCCACTGCTCTCCTTTTTTTTTTTTTTTTTTTAATTTTAGTTTGTTTCAGCATGTGATGTTCTTATGTACTTTAAATACATATAAAACTGTCTTACTTCTTGGTGAAATGATCTGATTTTACTGAAGAGAACAGGAGGGGTGGATCTGGAGTAGTTACCATCCTAGCCTTATATTATATAACAATATAGTATACCATTATATTCTTAGGTTGGGGAAAATCAGCTATAAAAAAGGAAGGTGGTATAAGGTTCTCTGAAGGGAATGACAGGGGGTAGGGTCTTGAGTCTAGTAAATGAATTCTGGAGGATAACTTTGGAAAGAGGATTTTAAATTGGCTATCTAGGGAATTGGGGGTTAGGTATGATATATAATAATAAAGATTTCCTAGGCTGTCTCAATCGTTAGTAGTCCGAGAGCCAACTAGATAAGATTTGTCATATTTACACGGAGTATTATATTTGTAATCAGCAAACCAGGTCGCTCAACAAGTGTCAGCTGTCAGAACTCATTCAGATCTCAAGGTTGGGGAATACTCAGACCTAGAAGTGAATACATCTTGGACAAAAGAGAAATGGAACCAAGAGTTTACCAAGCACCAGGTAAGACTCGTAGAGAAATTTTACTTTTGAAATCCCTTCATTCTTGAGATCACCTGTAGCCTTGAAAACTCTACTTCCCTGTACTTTGCCAGCCTAGAAACGAGCCCTTACATCCTCTTTCTCACTGGAGGTCTCACACCAAAACCAAATAAAGAGTCATGTATGTTGCTGTCTTACTTAATAGAAGAGAATGTGCTCTACACTGTGATTTACTTGCTTGAAGAACACAACTTCTGATGACCTATTTCCAACTTGTAGATAGCCTGCTTTTCAGAAAATTTATGCTTGGGTTGAAGGTCTTGAAACTGGAGACATTTCTTGGTTGAGATCTTTGGGTCTTTGAGAGACTTCCTCTAACTGTCCCGTTTCTGTGGAAGCCGCATGTGTGGAGGGGCTCTTGGGTGTCTGTGGGTGAAGTAGTTAAAAGGGGCTTCCCACAAACCTGGAGCAGTCCTCAGTGACGCGTGTGTCTCACCTGTGGGATTGAGTCCTCATCAATAAAACACTTCAATGTCCACACAGTGATGAGTGATGACACCATAAAAAAGAATGTTGAGTCTTTGCCTTCTTCCAGAAAACCTTGTCAGTTTAATGGGAAAAAAGAGGAAAACATGGTGTGAATTGTTTTGTGAGTTGATTAAAATGATAGGTCTCATCAGTCAAAATATGGCTATAGGAACCTGAAAACCTGAAGTAGATTTAGTAGATTTATCATAAAAACATGGTCTTTATTATCAAGGATTTTTTTTTCTCATAATCTCTTTCCATATTTTCCTAATTCTGCTTCTTGGTTCCAAAATGTAAGCTTCCATACATTTAGAATTTTTGTTTTTATTTTGACTAATGAATTTCTTAATTCTCACCCACAATATAGTTTCCATTATCTGATTTAGTATAAGTGTATCCAGTCAGGTGAAAGGCACATTTGTATACTGATGCCAGTTTTCTTTTAGGTTCTCATTATGACTTGCTATGTCGCCTTGAATGTTTTGAAAAATGGTTACTTATCACTGTCAGACATTAACCTTTTGGTCTTTGATGAGTGTCATCTTGCAATCCTAGACCACCCCTACCGAGAAATTATGAAGGTAAATTTTTAGATTTTATCAGTCTTAATTCAAGTCAGATTACTGAGAATAAGCAGTGTTTTTATATATCAAAAGCAGTAATATTAGTTACCAATTTTGGGAACTTTGTTCCGTGTATGAATCACTGAATATTAAATTAATTTTCACTTAAATCTATGATAATGAACTAGCATAAATAACCTATAGTAAATCTAAATCTGGAATAAAATTTTAAACATGATACAAATAAACGAAGTACATAATCTGATAAGTTAATTATATAATCTCTCATAGCATATTTAAATGTGCCTTTTTGCTAAACAGGCCTTTTAAACAAGCTACGGTAATGCCATGAGTTGTATTTGTAGCATCCGTCCATTTTCTCAACCTGTTAGCATCTCTCTTGTGCTGGCTGTGCAGAACAAATTCCTTACTGTCAGTGTCTTTCATTGTGTTAGCTCTGTGAAAATTGTCCATCGTGTCCTCGCATTTTGGGACTCACTGCTTCCATTTTAAATGGGAAATGCGATCCTGAGGAATTGGAAGAAAAGATCCAGAAACTGGAGAAAATTCTGAAGAGTAATGCTGAAACTGCAACCGACCTGGTGGTCTTGGACAGGTAGGCGCTGGGGGCTTGGCGGCCTTCCCTCCCTCCCGTAGGCTCTCTCGGCCGGCGCCCGCTCAAGTGAACGGATGGCTGCCGCAAGGAACAAGCAAGTTGGAGAATTCTGTCAGGACAGTTGCCCGCAAGGGCGAGGATCTAACCTTGTTTCCACACAGAGCAGCAGATGGAGGGGTTTCTTCATTCCGAGAGAAGATTGCAGAAGCTCGGGCCCCCCCGGTTTGCAGACATTGACGAGGACCTGGAACACGGACAGGAAATTTGTGTGCTTTTCTGTCCGTGTGTGCTTGGTTGTTCCAACCTAAGTGTCCCATGGGATAGTTTGAAAGAGCATTCACTTATTGACAGAATTCAGTATTTTACAGTATGTTTTAAAATGATTGGAAACACCCCGTAGTTTTGAAAATGGGTGTGAGTGTCTGAGAAAACCGTGTATGCTTTCTAGGTTTGTCTCTTTTTGAGAAGGTGGCTATTTTGTTTCAGTAGAATGTGCTATAGAAGTGAAAGTGTTTTCAGTAAAACACTTTTTGATTTGAGTTGGTGGAAAGGAGCCTAAATACATAGGTTTTTAAATATAATTCAATTCATATTAAAGTATCCTTACATCCTTATTAGATACAGTCTTTAGCAGGGCTAAAAATTATCAAGTGCTGGTTCTTGGAACAGTTATAATAACTAGAGAAGCTGATTTACCAGGGTGTGGAGTTAAATCAGATGGGTTTTTAAATATTGGCTCCACTAACTGGAAGCTGTGTAACTTCAGGTGAGTCATGTACTCTCCCGGATCCTGGAAAATGGCATTGAAGGTGGTTTCAGGGGATTCTTTGATGGTCAATCACATTAAAAATGGCGGTGTGCCTGCCATTTAATAGGAACTTGGGGAAAGTTCTCCTTGTAGAATGAAATGAAAACGTAATGTTTCAGATTCATGGAACTTAAGGATTCAAATGCTGTGTGAAGTACAAATCTCAGGACCTTTTGGACATGTTGTTTTTGACACCCTTGAGCCCAAACGATCTGAGGTAGAAGTAAAAGGCTGTACTTCTGCTTTTATCTGCCCCAAATTAGATTGGTGGGCTTGTACACTTGAAGTTTTCAGAAGTAGAGGTATTAGAGCATTTAAATAAAACTGTTAAGTGATCTCTTGAATCTGGTACTTCCCAGTTCTCTAAGCTTGACTCTGTTTAAGTATAAATTCTGATTGAGAATAATGAGAACTGTAGTATTTAAATATGTCTTTAGTATATTTCTTTTCCTTAATCATTGTTAGTGCTTTTAGAATACTATGTGCTATTCCAGTTGCCATATTTTATGAAAGGCGTAAGAGATCCAAGGATGATACCGTAATTGGTTGAAAGTTAGGTGAGCTTTCCTTACAAGGATACATTAAAAACACATTAAAATAAAACTGACATTTGCAAATGCCAAAAATTTCAAATAGTATGGAAGTGGATAGATTTAATGATGACACTTTCCATGTAGGATCTGCCCCTCCATCCCTGTTCTGCTTCTGAGAAGTGATCATTACTGAGTTGTTTGAGTATCTTGATACCCAAGGAGGCAAAAGTTGAAAGTCTAAACCTAAAAACTAAAACAAAAATCCTGAGATAATAAGGTAGTGACAAGATGCACAAAATTCTCTGAGTGTCAGCCTTAGGCAGTCGTTCCTTGAGCCTTCCAAGCAAGCACAGGCCCAGACAGAAGTGAGCACCCTGTTAGGAAGACCACTGCGAGCCCGCCTGTGATCCCATTGGACACGTCATAATGGCTCGGCGCACTGAAGTGAGTTTCTGGTGGTGACAACTTCTGTTTCCCCTGTTAAAGATACACTTCTCAACCATGTGAGATTGTGGTAGACTGTGGGCCATTCACGGACAGAAGTGGCCTCTATGGCAGACTGCTGGTGGAGCTAGAGGAAGCACTTAACTTTATCAACGACTGTAACATATCTGTGCATTCGAAAGAAAGAGATTCTACTTTAATTTCTAAACAGGTAAGCGTGTACAAGTAAGTAGAGAAAGCATAATTAAAAGACTTCTGTTTATTTTTAATAGCGAAATGAAAACATGTTTCTAATGAGGCTTTTGTGTGTTTTAGTTTAAGGCCTTATCTTCTTAATCTGTTTGGCCATTTTTCATTGAACACATCCTTTTGGGTTGAGTTTATGGTTACCCGAGAGATAATTATAGACCTCCCTGATTTAAGGAGATGGGTTGGGGTTCATGTCGTGAGTTAGTCCCTGCTGGAACCCTCAGACTGACCGAATACCCTGTGTGTAACTGGAGCTGAGCCTGTCATTCCTGAGTGGCACAGCTTTGGGAGGAGATCCCTTAGATCAGTGGTCCTTAAAGTGTGGACTCCAGTTCAGCAGTATCCACGTTCCCCCTAGAACTTGGTGGAAAAGCAGATTAGGGATCCTGTCCTTCACCTGCTAAAGCCCTGCCTATTGGAGGGGTCCAGCTTTCTGAGATTTGACAAGTACTCCAGTTATCCCGATGCATTCAAATTTGAGACCCATCGACCTAGGACTTTGCAGCCATTTGTGAACAACACTTGAATCTGAGTCTCCGTTTCTCTCCTGCTGATTTGCTCTGGAGCAGCAATGCCTAGACTCTTTCCAATCCTTGATTTCTTACTAAGTCTGTGTTCCACCCAGTTTGTCTTTTACCTGCCTGCGGAGCTGACAATTCCTCGGTTATAGCCTCGTTGTGGATTTACATTCTGCTCGGAGCTAGAGTTGTAAGATGTGGCACTCTGGGTGTAAGGTGCAGGGAACGTTGACTTGCTCTTCTTAGATACCTAAAATAAAATTAGTCTGCTACGTAATTCCTCGCATATTTACCTGGAAGTAAATGACTCAGTTCCACTTGTAACTAATGACCGACTTGAAATTAAATTTTATTAACCTTATACAGTTGCATCTTTTATTTTCTATTATTTGTTCTGGGGAAAACAAAAGGATGGTTCTGGGCATATATATACATGAAAAAGTAGAGATTGAAAAGACCACTGGCCGTTCTTCCCCCCACCCCCCGCCCCAAAGTTGAGGAATTGACCTCAGTGTTTATATTAGTGGGAAAAATTTATTTTGAAGGGGCAGATTGAAGACAACTTAAATCCTAGTTAAGCCTCATATGGAAGTGCTACATGATTACTGTTTAGCATTTGGCTCTTTACATTTTTTTGTAGATCCTGTCAGACTGTCGTGCGGTATTGGTGGTTCTGGGCCCCTGGTGTGCAGATAAGGTAGCTGGAATGATGGTAAGAGAACTGCAGAAATACATCAAACATGAACAAGAGGAGCTGCACAGGAAATTTCTATTGTTTACAGACACCTTCCTGAGGAAAATACATGCACTATGTGAAGAGCACTTCTCTCCTGCCTCACTTGACCTGAAATTTGTAACTCCTAAAGTAATAAAACTGCTTGAAATTTTACGCAAATATAAGCCGTATGAGCGGCAGCAGTTTGAAAGTGTTGAGTGGTATAATAATAGGAATCAGGATAATTATGTGTCTTGGAGTGATTCTGAGGATGATGATGAGGATGAAGAAATTGAAGAGAAAGAAAAGCCGGAGACAAATTTTCCTTCTCCGTTTACCAATATTTTATGTGGAATCATTTTTGTGGAAAGAAGATACACGGCCGTTGTCTTAAACAGGTAAATCTCTTAAGATTAACCAGCATCCTTTCCCATAGTGGAGGGGCAACTTGGTTTTGTGAAGTGCTGTGCTGTAATAATAGCTTTGAACCTGGCAGAAGGCTTAGGTGAGTGTCCTCTATTTGGTACCATTGTACCTCCCTTGTAATGTTGTGCTGGAATCTTCAGGGAGGACGTTTGTATGACTGTAGCTTTCCTGAAAGACTAGATTTGACAGGACCTGGGATTTTTTTTTCTTGGAGGATGCAAATCTGTTCTAATCCATTTAAAATAGAGAGTAAGGGGGCGCCTGGGTGGCTCAGATGGTTATGCATCCGCCTTCGGCTCAGGTCATGATCCCAGGGTCCTGGGATCGAGCCCCACATCGGGCTCCCTGCTCAGCGGGGAGCCTGCTTCTCCCCCTCCCTCTGCTTCTCCCCCTGCTTGTGTTCCCTCTCTCTCTCTGTGTATCTCTGTGTCTCAAATAAATAAATAAATAATCTTTAAAGTAGTAAGTATAGAAAGATGAAGGTAAAACATTTTTTGTTTTGTTTTGCATTTAGTTATGAGAGTCAATTCAGATACGGTTCATCTGTGACTATGTGTTAGGCATTGTGTTGAGCATTTCACACCAAGCTTTCTCCTTCAGGTAATCTTAGGATAAATTTTACCTAGGAATTATTGTGTCTATCTTTTTGTTGTTGGTGGTGGTGTTAACTTTTTTATCTTAACCAGTATTGATTCGTGTTTGCAAGTTCAAAATGGAAAAAGTTGAGAACAATTGGATTTGCAGTTTAGGTTGGTTCATAGACTATATATTAAAATTTTCAGAATCAGAAGAAAATAAGAATGTTAGAGAAGAAATCAGAGGATATTGGCAAAAGATGACAGTGCATCCAAAGTTAGGCTGTGGATTTCCATGTCCACCCGCTTCTTTAGTAGAAGTTGATTTTTCCTGAACATAGACCCTGCCAAGGAGCTGTCCTCCAAATTTGTGTCAAATGGTCACGGAGTGTATGGTTCTTTTGGTGTATGTATAGACACTGTAGTATATAAGGGCCAGAAAGGGTCCTTAGTTTGTACTTCAGACAATGATCTGTTTCTCTATGAGATACATTAATTGGCCAGAGTTGATCTCTGAGAGCCAGTTGTGCAAGTAGTGATCTCTGAGGAGAAATTCAGCTTTGGTTCCTGTGGTAATTTGGGATTTTTTTTTTTTTTTTTCTTTTCCTAAACTGCTTCTGACTGTTTGGGGCTTTGAAAACTTACTGGAGTAATGAGAAATTGGACTCTGGGGTAGTCATCTGGCAGTTTTTAGTCTGGTAGTTTTCATAGTCATTGGGCCTGATCTCTATGATGAATACAAAGTAAAATAACTTTAGGTAGTGAATTACATTGGAATCAGAAGTTTACGGTTGGAAAGGGACTCATTGACTATCTAATCCAGCCCACTTATTTTTATAAAAAAAAAGAGAAAGGGCCTCAGGAGGAAAAGTGATTTGCTTTGAGTTAAATTGCCAGGCAGCGGCAGAGACAATTCTAGAATCCTGATATCCTGCCTCCTAGTTTCCAGTTCCTTCTGCAGTCATAATGCCCCTGGGCGTCAGAGAACACTAAAAATCCATGTGGAAGACGGCCAGGAGACAGACCAGGAAGAGCCTAACCATCAGGATTATTTCTTAGAATGGGGGAAAAGGCGTTTCAGGGGTCAGAGAAGTTTAATATCAGTACAGTTCCAAGCCTTGTTATAGACATGCTTCCTGCCCCCGTACAGGATGGTTTAAGAATTAAATACATTTTATGGCGCTTAGAAAGAAGAAATGGCATATTTTCTTCTTTTCTCTCTTCTCTACATGCATTCTTAAGTGTAGAGATGTGCCAGTTTTCATGGCAGGAATATTAGTCTGAAAAGGTTTATAAAAAAATCAATCAGTTATTTCCTGTTGACTTTGAGGATCAGATTAATTGTGATCAACTTTCATAAAATGGGGCTGGAATTTAGTGTTGGATGATGAATCAAGAGCAGTTTGAGGGTTGATTTTATGGGCAGCTAATTAAATATACAATAGAAGTCTTGTTCCAGTAAGCTTTTTAATAAGCTTAGAAAAACTTCCTGAAATCTAGATTCTTTCTTTCCATCAATTTAATAGGAGGAAAAACCCTCAGTGAACAGTTTCATGGGAGTCTAAGTTAACTTGTGATACATGGGCAGTTTTGTCCTCTCCTAATTAAAAAAATAAATCATAGCTACTTCTGTAGACGATGTAGCTACGTGTGCAGTCTTATGTTTATAGTTTTCCTTTTTGCCTTATATATATAGGGCTTTATGGTTTATAACTTACTTTTAGATATGTTTTCAAGTTTTACAACACTCCATGAAGGGAGGAAGGTAGATGTTTTTACTATATTTTAGATGAGGAAGCCAAGACAGTTTGTGACCCTCCCCAAATCACACAGATACCAAGAGGCAAAAAGGGGCTTCTGGTCTCCCAAGTCTGGTTCTCTTTTCACTGTGTGATTTACTAGTCTTGTGTGACACTGGCATCAGACAAGCCTGGGTTCACGGCCTCCATCTACCCCTCCCCCTCTATTTCCCTCCTAACTTTGTTTACAGAAAAGTTGCAAAGAGAGTACAGAGCTCCCCTGTCCCCCTCACCAGGTTTCCCCCACCTGTTGTTAACATCATACATTACTATGTACCTTGGTCACAACCTGGAGACCAGCCTTAGTGCGTTACTATTAACCAAACTTCAGACTGTGTTTTCATTTACCAGTTTCCCCATTAATGTCCTCTTCTTAATCCAGGGTACCACATTGCATCTAGTTGTTGCATGTCTCTAATCTCCTCTGGTCTCTTTGTATTTTGTTTTTCCTTGGTTTTGACGACCTTGACAGTATTGGGGAGTACTGGTCAAGTATTTTGTAGAATGGCTCAATTTGAATTTGTCTGACGTTTTTCTCAGGATTAAAATAGGGTTTTAGGATTTGTAAGAACACTGCAGAGATGAAGTGCCCTTCTCATCACATTGTATCAGGGAGACTCATGGTATGGACACGAGCCATCACTGGTGATGGGAAACTTCATCACGTGGTTATGATAGTGTTGCCAGGCTTCTCCACTGTGACGGTTGTTACTGTTTTATTCCTCACTTTCTTCTCTGGAAGCACGTCACCAAGTTGAGCTCATCCTGGAAAGGAGGGCTTGAACTCCATTCCTGGAGAGGAGTGTTGTATTTATGTTTATTATTGGAATTCTTCTGTAAGGACAACTTACCTCTTTGATCCTATTTATTAATATTTATTGACTTACGTTCTTTTATCACTGTGGGCTCGTGTTTGTTTATTTTACACTTTGAGTTATAATCTGATAGTAGGTGGTTTATTTTGTTGTTCAAAATGTTCCACTCTAGGCTACAGGGAGGGCAGGGGTGCTCTTTGAGTTTAGTGCCTGTGTCCCTTGGACAGGCCCTCATCCTGGATTTTTTTGTTTGTTTGTTTGTTTTAGCACTTCCTGACTTTCTAGCCCTACAAGATGCTCCAGGCTCTTGTATTTTTGCTGCTCCAGCCGTAGAATCAGCCATTTCTCTATGGAGCCCTGGTTCCTTTCATTTCTACCCACTTTTCTAGATGTATTTTTGTGAAAGTTTTTTTAACTTTTAAAACTTTAAATAAAGAGAAATTTTTCTCAGGATCTTCATTTGTAAAATAGTAATAGTCTCTCTGTCTCTTTACAACATATATAAAAATGGCTGTTTTATCACCTGATACAGTAGGTGCTATTTTCTTATGGGCTTTATGCACACATTTAGGGCATATGGGATCAGTCATAGGTTTTTTGGTAAGATCCCAGAGGAATTACATTGGATTTTCTCATGTTGGTAAGGAAATATAAGGAGTAAGGACACTATTAAAAGCTATTGTTGATAACATGCTTTAGTACTTGGCAGACATTTCAAATGATGTGTTTGTTTCTTTGAATTTTTTTCCCCTTACGGTTGTCTGCATAAATTAGCACTTGTAGTCAAATCCCGGTTCCCTAGGATACATCTACCAGTTCAGCATCCATATTTGCCGTTTCTGGCCATGCTGTTTCCTGTGTAATTGTGGGGGACAGCGTGTTGTGCACATACCATGTGATCGGTACACTGCCACCAGCTGAGCGAGTTAGGTACAGAGATGGAGGGTGAACATCTAGAAGCTCTTAGTTTTGACAGCAAGTTATGTCTCCTGAATATAATACAACTGGCTCTTGAATTTGAATGCTTTTAAGTTTCATTTTTCTTCATCAATTTTCATGGAATTTTACAAAAATGCTAGTCTCTGATGGATTTGAAATTAGAAAAATAAATAAATAACTGGTTCTTAGCTGCTGATAGTTTCAGAAGCCCTGTGCACAAGAGATCAGCTGGGTTTGTCGAATCGCTCGCTTGTGAAGCCGCCCACATAAACTCTGTAAAAATCAAAAGAAACAAGTAAGACTTTGTCTTAATCAGTTCATGGCACCGTGAAATCTATAAGCAGTTTGTGTTACTCACTTGTAAGCTCCCTGAGCACTGTAGACTTTGTTGTTTCTCTGGAAGCCTATAGTTTTATCTGAGGAATGTGGTCAGACATCCCTTAATTTATCGGAAAGAGACATTTTTCTCTCTAAACATCATCAGCATGGGTATATAGCATTTAATTACTGCTTACAAGAGATTTGGTTTGTTAATGTACATATTGTCTCTTCTGTTCTCTGCAGTGCTGTTGCGAGTTTCATTAAGGAGAAATGCATTTACTCTTAGTGCTTCTGCTTCTTAGTTAGTTGAAATCTGCTAGACTGATCATTTTGGCAAAGTAAAATACATTCTTTGCCTAATTAAATTAATTAATTTGCCTAATGCCTGCCATGAAATGCATTTTTTTTAGCCTCTGTTACATTCACATTGATGCTTGTTTACATAAACTAACATTTGGAAGTACATATTTCTAAGATAATTGATTTCATAATTTAGACTTTGGGGCATGCGATTTGTTTGCGTGTAACATTGCTTTCTGCTACTGACATCCTAAGTTTATTCTAATAACTAAACAGAGCTTGGAACATATTAAGGAAGTTCCTGATTCTGAACATTTTAAGTATTTGAATGTAGAACAGACTCTTAAACTAACCTAGACATGCAGGTGTTTGGCTGATTTGGAGGCAGGAAGATATTCTACATGGCCACTCAAGGTTTCTTCCAGCTCTTTGATATTAGTCTGTTTCATGTATTTAAAACAAAACAAAACGAGTGGTTTGACTTAAAAATGCAATTTTCTATTAGGAATTTATACTATGTGTATGACTTCAGAAGAACCATCTGGAATCACTTATGTCAGGTGTGGAACCATTTATCCTGTGTGCTGAGTTTTTGAATGTGGATATTTCCAAAATAGCTGTAATGGCAACACTAACTGTTAACCTTTTGTCCCTGTGTAATGTGATCCCATCCTGTAGCTCTTTTCCATTTCTTAGCTAGAAGGCCAGCTTTAGTTACTTGCATTCTGGATTAATACAGAGGAACAGGCAGGAAGAGGGATGAGCTGGGAAGCCTCTCTCTTTCATGACAGGATGGGATGGGGACTCTGGCGCTGCCCTGTGGTGCAGAGCTATGGTTGGCGGCCTGGGGGCAGGAAAGTGTTGGGAATGGCGGCGCTCCCCACTAGGTAGGCATTTCTTGCCCTGGAGCTCTGCTTCCAGTGATAAAAAGGGTATTAGGGTAAGACTAAAAGAAATAACCGTGCTAGTTTCCACACACAGCGGGAGCTCTCTTCGTCCATGTCGCAGGAGAATGAGGTTTCCCTTGCTGTAGAATTGCCCTTTGGCCTCGGGTGTTGGTACTCTGCATGAACTTGGCCATGGAGACAAGGGCAGTGATGGCCGCCACAAGTTGTGTGTGTGTGGGGGGAAGTGCATTGAGCTTTCAGAGGTGTGTGGCTTTTTCATTATAGGTCCTGGCCTGAAGCCAAGGTATATGAGGATTCCATGTTTCTCTCTGCCTAGCTCTGTCCCCTACTGGGCCACGTTTCTAGTAAGTCATCACGGCCAAATTAGAAAGTTTGAAGTACCGTGACCGTTTTGTTCGTCAGTATCAATCAGCCCTGTATCTGGTACTGTGAGGGTTTGGTCCACAGATCTACACAGGGAAGAGTGGCAGTGATTTCTGTTGAAGCTGGTTGAAAAAAATCACCAAGACCATTTTGTTAGGTATGTTGGCAAAACATACGTGTATTTCCATTTTCAGGGAGACCTTACAAACAAAAGTTTAAATTTTTTTCCCTCAGCAATGCTTAACTTCCAAATGTATATAATTTTCTTAGATTGATAAAGGAAGCTGGCAAACAAGATCCAGAACTGGCTTACATTAGCAGCAATTTTATAACTGGACATGGCATTGGAAAGAATCAGCCTCGTAACAAACAGATGGAAGCAGAATTCAGAAAACAGGAAGAGGTAACTTAAGTTGAAATAATAGTACAATAACAGTTTTCAGAATATATATAAACTCTGCTCATAGGAACTCCCTTTCTTCATAGTTGCTTGGCGTTTTTTTGTAATACAGAATATTTGCTCATAGATAGACTGTCTCCTATGAAGTAGCTGTATAGTGATTTCATATGTTCAGAATGAGAATAGCTGGTAAATCAATTTTCTCTTAATTGCCGTCAACCATTTCATTTTCCTTTATTGGACTGATGGCATTTCATAGAAAAACAAAGCATGTGTAACTGTAACTCCTGTTGACTCCATGTGACTGAGCAACAGAATAAATTTTTTTCCCTAGAAAGTATTTTGTTTTCCACTTAAAGTCCGTGCCGTGGTTGAATACGTTAAAGGTTCTGGCTTAATTTTTTTCATGCATTTTAAGATTTTAATATAGGAGACAGCATTGTAAATATGTGAAACCTAATACAGTGTTCTGGCTGGCAAACAAAAACTTTTTATTTGAAGTTTGTTATTTAACTTAAAGGTGGAATAATTCACATTGAAGTTCATTTTCTGTGTCATAGCTTTTTGATAATGTTCCAAGTTTGGGGACTCCAGTAGCCAGCCAGTGTGATAGATCTGTTTAAAAGCCAACTTACTTTACTTATCCTGGATTGAGAAATGATGTTATTTTAAATTTAATATGAAAAAAATTTTCACTTTATTTTTTAATCAGTAGTTCCGATTCCTTAAGTTGAAAGTGTCCCAGGATGCCAGAAAATAAGTAATGCCTTACTTACAATTTTTAAGTTACAAGCATTTTAGGGATTTTAGTGAGTTTTGACATCTTTGGAGGGATGTTGGCACAGTCTCCCAGACATAAGACACTACCACGGAGAGTCAGAGTATCAACGGGATTCCAGAAGTGGATTCATTTGGTCACTTTGTTGGTTAGATTCTTTTGTGGCCATTGAAGAAGCCAGCCTCTTCGATCCGAAGGCTTTCTGTGATTTGTACATACTTCCGTATGGTAGAAAGTCACTTTGATTTTTCAAGTCCTATTCAGTTGAAAACTGTCATTAAATCAGAGTCTCTTTGTCCACGTGTTCATACATCTTGAGTTTTGTGTGGTGTTGTTACCTTCTTTAGCCTGGACCGAAAGATTTAGTGTGCCCAGAAGATGTGTCGGAAGTGACAGTTGTGGGACACCTGGGTGGCTCAGTCGGTTAAGCATCTGCCTTAGGCGGCACGGGTCATGATCCCAGGGTCCTGGGATCGAGCCCCGCATTGGGCTCCCTGCTCCGCGGGAGGCCTCCTTCTCCCTCTCCCTCTCCCCCTGCTTGTGCTCGCTCTCTCTCTGAAAAATAAAATCTTAAAAAAAAAATGACAGTCATCACTTATTTGTACTACGCTATTCCTTTGGAAATTTCTTAGAATTGCTTTTCGTGGTGGACTTTTTTCAGGTCCTTAGGAAATTTCGAGCACATGAGACCAATCTCCTCATTGCAACAAGTATTGTGGAAGAAGGTGTAGATATACCAAAATGCAACTTGGTGGTTCGATTTGATTTGCCCACAGAGTATCGGTCCTATGTTCAATCTAAGGGGAGAGCAAGGGCACCGGTCTCTAATTATATAATGTTAGCAGACACAGACAAAATAAGAAGTTTTGAAGAAGACCTTAAAACATACAAAGCTATTGAAAAGGTAAGATTCAAAAATCAGTATGCTATCTCTAAGTTAATTTTTATGTGCAGAGAAATAGATAAAAACAGCTTTAAATACAGAGAACAGTCTCAGCAGGGGTGTGCAGTATGTACATTATAAGAAAGTCAAGTAATTATAGAGCTGCAGTATTTTGCAAAGCGTTTGAAAGCTCGCAATGAAAATGGTCATATGTGTTATGGGGAGAGAAGCCTGGAAAGTGTCCTGTTCATGTGGACAGTGTAGTCACAGTTGAGTGACAGAGTTGTGGAGCGATGGGAGGGTGATGACAGAGCCCCTGTCTGTGTGTGCGCAAGTATGGTACCATGCAAACCTGTGCGCATATAGCTAGTGTCGCCACATGATTGGAGCTGGGGGCACCGCTTTGGGAGGGAGTTTCTGCATCAGGTGACTTGGAATATTGAAGTGTGTTTAGGAGAGCTGTTTTGTGTGAGGAGAGCTTTTTCTGTAGGTACAGAGGCAGACTCCTGACACATGCAAAGAAAATATTCTCATCATAAAATCTGTTTCTACAATGTTCAGATCTTGAGAAACAAGTGTTCCAAGTCAGTTGACACTGGTGAGACTGACATTGAACCTGTTGTGGATGATGACGATGTGTTCCCACCATATGTGTTGAGGCCTGATGATGGTGGTCCACGAGTCACAATCAACACGGCCATTGGACACATCAATAGGTATGATATAAAATACTTTTGCATAGAAACTCTAGTAGGAGTATTGCAAGATTTAAGTTTAAACCTGTGAGTATTGTAGTGTTTACCTTTTGCAAATATTCACCAGTCTTTCTGTTTATGGCTTGTACTATTTTGATGAGAGAAGGAAAAGAAGTTGCTTTTTTCCATTCATTCTGATCATTTTGATCAGAAGGCAAAAACAGTATTGTGCAGTAATAAATGTTTAGTTTTTGTTGGCAAGGCTGACTTCAGGCATACTTATTTTAATTAGATTTTACTTAATTTTATAGTGCTCACTAATTTCTTTTTTATTCTGAAATCTGTTGTTTTGTGCCATGAATGTTGAGGGATGTTGAATTTTCCATTAGCTATGATATAAGATTATGATAAATTAACTCACATTTTTAATTATGTCCTAATTTACTTTGTCCTGAATTGGTAATAACATTTCTAAGAACTAAGAAAAGCAGATACATACCTAGATTATGTGTCAGGATAAACTTCCGTGCAGAGGCAAAATAAAGGAGCAACTCACATAAGATTTTTTTTAACCTTTTATTTTGAAACAATTTCAAACTTTAAAATGTTGCAGGAATACTGCAGAGAACTCCCATTTACCCCTCACCCAGAGAGATTCAGCTTTCATGAGAATTTTCACGAGAATGTTTCTTTGTAGTGAAAGGATCCAAGCCAGGATCAAGGGTTGTATGAGTTTTTCTCATCTCTCTAGTCTCCTTCAACCTGGAATCATTCTTGTCGTTCTCTGACCTGAATGACCTTGCAACTTTTGAAGATTTATAGGCCAGTCATTTTGTAGTCTGTCTCTCAGTTTGGCTTTATCTGATATTTTCTGGTAATTAGCCCCAGGTTATGCACTGGGGCCTGCCTGCACATCACAGAAGTGATGCTGTGTTCTTCTCATCCTGTCCTTCCGGGTGCACTCGATGTTGATTGGTGCTCTTCCTTGTGGTGGTGGCTCTGATGACTTACGAAAGGTCTGCCAGCTTTCTCTGCTGTAAAGTTGCCTTTTCCCCATTTATAATGAGTGCATATTTCATGGGGAAATAGTTTGAGACAGTGAAAATTTACTCCTCTTCCCAGTGTCACCCATTAGTTTAAGTATCCATTGGTATTTCTTGCCTGAATTGATTCTTGCTGTGGTGTCTCCAAAATGGTGGTCTTCTGATTCCATTATTCTTTCTATTTGTTGGCATTCTCCTGGAACGAAGAGCTTTCTCTTTTCTCCACTTACTTATTCCCTTTATTATTATTATTTTTTATCTAATATGAACTGAGGAGTTCTCTTTTATTCAATGGGTTACAGTCTGGTTACTGTCATTTATTATTTATTTGGATGTTAAAATTATCTCAGATTTGGCCAGTGGGAGCCCGTTCAAGCTAGTCTTTTTACATCACCATTATTCTTTGATCACTTCCCTATTTTATGGCGTACTAAGATTTCTAGCCTCAACTTCTATTTTCCCTGCCTCAGCCTAGATATTGGCTATTCCTCCAAAAGGTTCTGGTTTCTTTTAGTGGCAAATGCCTGGTGTTTAGAAACCAAAATCTGGGTGCTGAGCACTGGGTGTGCTCATTGCCCCTGGAGTATCGCCGCTGCCGGACTCCTTAGAACTAGAAGCTACGTGTGTGCGTGTTCACGTACACATGTATTTATTTCTGTGTCTGACTATGGGTTGTTCCCTCCACTTTTACTGTTACACCACAGGGTTCATTCTAGCTTTCCTCTCTTCCATCTTTATTTCTGGCTTCTTCAGTAGTGAGAGATAGGACTCCCATTGTCCTCAGAATCGTTACGTTTACGTCCAGTCTCCCTGAATGCAGCCAGTCTCCTACTCTGCAGGGCTGCCACTGTGTTTGGGTGCCCTTATGCACAGGTCGTGACCTTACAGGGTGTCCGCTCATTCCAGTGCCTTCCTTGGGCGCGTTCTGCCTCTACCGATTACCTTCCTGTCCCAGAGCCCTCCTCGCTCAGTCTCAGCGCCCCTGAAGCTAGCTTCCTGCCCTGTAACACTCTCCTGCTCCTGCTGTGGGGGTGTGGTGGGCAGCGGGGATGGTCTTCTTGTTCGGACGCCTTCCGTTGTGTCAATACTGGGCTGTCCTTCCAGCCTCTTCTGATGCCTCCCTTGCACAGGCCCTGAGAGTTTGTGGGTGCATGTACGATATTAAGGAACAAACACTGGTGGCATGTTCTCTTAATGGATTCTGAACAGTATTTTCTGCATTCTACGATCGCATTGGACATATGTTATCTATTTAAATTCAAGTTTTAATTTTAATTAAAATTAAATAAAAATTTAAAATTAGCTTCCTAGCTGCCTCACCACATTTCAGGTGCTCAGTGGCTGCCCCGTTGGACAGTGTAGACACAGAACATCATTACAGAAGATTCTGTTGGACAACACTGTTCATCTTACTGAAAGTTTTCAAAGTGGTGAAGCTCAAACTTCACATACAAATACCAATCCAGTAGAGGGGAAGAGGGACATGAAAAATTAAACTTGAGGCTGTGAATATCAATACAGATTTTTTTCTCCATTTCTCAGGTGTAGATTTAGCATCAGAATTTCTTTTTCTTCACAGATACTGTGCTAGATTACCAAGTGATCCGTTTACTCATCTAGCTCCTAAATGTAGAACCCGAGAGTTGCCTGATGGTACATTTTATTCAACTCTTTATCTGCCAATTAACTCACCTCTCCGAGCCTCCATTGTTGTAAGTTTAGAAAAAGAAATGATTGTGCTTTTAAAGTATGTCATTAATGGATTGTTTTTCAGCTTCTCTATGCCAGCGCAAGTTATAGGAAAATTTAGCTTTAAATCTGTTCTTAAGCATAGGTTTATAAATCTCTTTTGTGGTCACCTACATGTTCAGACCTCCAGTAGACTGTATGAGTAGATAACCTGAAGTTCCCTCTAGGATCTTACTAATATCAACATTCAGCTGTGGCTTAGACACTTATAGGGACAGAATTTATTAAATGTATTTGGGCTTCTCTAGCTGTTTTGTTGTTCACTCGAAAATCTGCCTTTGCATAACTGCCGTCCTTGGTCCCAGTACTGATTTCCAGATATTCCAAGACGACTAATTTCTCTTGCACATAAAAATTTGTCAATGCTGTTAATGTGTATGTTACAGCCACGTTTTGATATATCTTTGTTTTTTTCTTATTTGTAGATTAGTGAAAATAAGCTACATTAAAATCTTACTGAAATTTGTATACATTAAAATTGTCAAATCTTCATTATAACTTACCTAGGTTTTACTGGGCAGGGCTTTTAAAAAAAATGGCTATTTCAACTGTGGAGATGAGGGTTTTGACAAACTTGCTGGCATTTTTCAAAATAAACCACTTTGCTCTCATAAAGTTCGGCTTTAAAGATACTGCTTTCATAGAAGTTTTATGTGTTAAGGATAGCTACGTGCATGTACAGTGGAAATGTTTTTTGTTACTTTCAGGGTCCACCAATGAGCTGTATCCGATTGGCCGAAAGAGTTGTAGCTCTCATTTGCTGTGAAAAACTGCACAAAATTGGTAAGAGTGTTTGAAAAGCACACGCAATTAAGAATAAAGTTGAAACATTGTCCAACAGAAGCGTATCAAGGACTAGATAGGTGTCTGAGGATTTTGTGGCATTCTGAACTTGCTGCTCTCACTGTACGGTATTGAAGGACCGGATGGAGAGCTGATGTCACCTGAGGGTCCTGTGACACGGACCAGCTCACTGCAAGCAGCTGCGCTGTATTTACTCTCCTCACTGACCCCTTGTCATTACAGAGAGGTGTTCTTTCTTCGGCAGAATCATGGACACTTGTGTTTCAATGGGTCAGTCTCTCAAAATAGTTTACAAATTCAAGCATTTAAAAAAAGGGGGGAAGTCTTTATTTTCCATAGACTTTGTAAAACAGTGGCATGTGCTGTTTTTCTGTTTCAATATTATTGAAGAACCTTTTTTTATTGGAGTAGAGTTGACACACATTGTACATTGGCTTCAGGTGTCCCACAGAGAGATTGCACGAGTCTGTACATGATGCTCTGCTCAGGTGCAGACGCCCTCTGTCAGCTTACAGTGTTGGCCCGGTACCCTGCGCTCCGTCCCCGTGCTGTGCCTTGTGTAGATGTGATGTTTGCATCTTAGAACAGAATTTGTGGCCCTGCTCACTGAATATATGAACACCAAAGTAGACCGCCTGGCGCATGACGTCCAATCAGCTTGTGATACGAAAAGTACAGATGCTTCAGTTTTGTTACCCTTCCACTTGCTTTCTAACATACTGCTGCTCTGGATACTCTAATGATTAGAGAGACAACATCTGGATTGTTTGTGTTAATTGTTTTTACATTTCTTAGGTGAACTGGATGACCATTTGATGCCAGTTGGGAAAGAGACTGTTAAATATGAAGAGGAGCTTGATTTACATGATGAAGAGGAGACCAGTGTTCCGGGAAGACCAGGTTCCACAAAACGAAGACAGTGCTACCCAAAAGCAGTTAGTATTGGTTAGAACCAAATACAAATCTGGCCTTTCTGACTTTTTATTTCTGGCCACATCAAATTGACGTTCCTCTGCTTGCCTTCCTAGACCGTGTAATTTGGCCCACTTGGGATCTCCGCTCACTTCCTCCCATGACAGCTTCTCTCAGATCAGCCAGCCCCTCCTTCCCACGTGCGCTGTGTGCACTTTCCCACTTAGGACATTGCTTTCGTTTTTCTTCTCAAAAGGAGTATGGACTCATTTGTCAGATTCTATCCAGGATGAGTCTATTTCTTTTAAAGAGATATTTTTTGTTTCATTCACTTTAGTGGTAAGATTTTTGCTTTCCTAATGTTTGGGGCTAAGACAAAAGAGGATTTGCATGATAAAATAGGCGAGTGAGAGGGTGCCCGCTCCACATGGTGTGAGGATGGTGACAGCAAGGATTTGTCAGGAGCTAGGCCATGGCCTGCGAGTGGTCAGAACCAGTCCTGTCAGCATGCCGTGTCTGGCTCTGTCTGTGGCATCTTGGTGCGGTTCATGCACTACGACGTCCCTGAGTCGGACTTCTAATTAAAGCCGTACTGGGTGGAAGGACTTATTTTAAAAATATTTGCTAATGGGGCGCCTGGGTGGCTCAGTCGTTAAACGTCTGCCTTCAGCTCAGGTCATGATCCCGGGGCCTTGGGATCGAGCCCCACATCGGGCTCCCTGCTCCGCAGGAAGCCTGCTTCTCTCCCACTCCCCCTGCTTGTGTTCCCTCTCTCGCTGTGTCTCTGTCAAATAAATAAATAAAATCTTAAAAAAATTATGCTAATATTTGTCCCCTGTAAGAATCGCAAACAAAAGCAAAAACTTTGCTGTGTATTTTCATCTTAGCCTAAAAGTGTGGTTCTTTGTTTCATTTTTGCAGTTGCATTGAGTTGTTACTTTTTAAAAAATTTTCACGAAGTTTCACTTGAGCATTTTCAAGATTCAGAATCATGTGGTTTGTTTAAAAATTATGAATGTGACCTGTTCCCTGAAATGCTTGTTTCCCAGCCTTCCTACTCTAACATTAACCCCAAAGACCACTGGACTCGTTTCATATGGCAGACATCATCATTAGTAATAAGTGTTTTAATTAACAAGTACCTTCTGGATTATCTGATATTCTGTCACTGTAACTGTCTCCTAGCCGGCATCTCTATGCCTTTTAACTGCAGATGCAATCATTAATGTCCCTGAGCCTCCGAAATTGCACGACTCTTCCTGCGTGGGGTTGTATGAATATTGAAAGTTTAGAAGCAATCTCAGATTCATTAAATTATGTTTTATATATAATTAGCCATTAAAAATGATACTAGAAAGATATTCTCATTGTAGTAACTGGAGAAAAAATCAGATGACAACAGTCTTCGTTGTGCTGTTCCAGACATAATGGAAAAAACACGTATGTGTATATGTATCTGCATTTATACATAGGAGAAAGTCTGGAGGATGCTACAGTATATCAGAAGTTAATCAAGGTTATCTTTATACAATCATGTAGGACTTTTAAAATTTTGCATTTGTTTTCTGATGTTCCACAGTGTTAAAAGACTAAAAATCCCGAGGAAGAAAAGAGTTCTCTAATCAAAAGAAGTAACTCGAATAGTGTTTCATAGACAAGACCCTACAGGGTTTGATTGTTTTGTATAATTTTGGTATTATCTAGTCAGCAGTGCATCATGAGGTAGGTGACCCCGGGCCACCTTGCAGCCCAGTCCTGAGAAGGGCTGGCTCTGCAGCGGGGTTAGGTAGTTCAGTCTCCCTCCCTGGCTATTTTCTTAGCTTTTTCTCATCAGCTTTTAGTAAAGCTAGGAAGAAATTTGTTTTCTTGCCAGTATCTGGAAAAGAGGCTGTTACACGTGATCTTGATGCTTAGGTTTTCTTTCCAATTCTAGATTCCAGAATGTTTGAGGGATAGCTATCCCAAACCCGATCAGCCCTGTTACCTGTATGTGATAGGAATGGTTCTGACGACACCCTTACCTGATGAACTCAACTTTAGAAGACGGAAGCTCTATCCCCCTGAGGATACCACAAGATGCTTTGGAATACTGACAGCCAAACCCATACCTCAGGTAGACGGCTCCTTATGACTCTGATAAAAATATGTTTTGTTTTGTTTTTTTTTAAAGGGAACAGCTGTTTACGAGTGACTATCTTTTGTTACCTCAGAATGTTTAGTATTTAAAAATCAGGGTGTCCCTTCTATTTCCTGGATTGAAAGCATTGTTCCTCCTCTGAAGTTAAATATTTGTAATGGAATAAAACACCTGTTAACTTTGGGGATGCTTTATTTTTCTTTTTGCTAAGATCCCGCACTTTCCTGTGTACACGCGCTCTGGAGAGGTGACCATTTCCATTGAGTTGAAGAAGTCTGGTTTCACGTTGTCTCTGCAAATGCTTGAGTTGATTACAAGACTTCACCAGTATATATTCTCACATATTCTTCGGCTTGAAAAACCTGCACTAGAATTTAAACCCACAGACGCTGATTCAGCATACTGTGTTCTACCTCTTAATGTTGGTAAGAAGGGCCCAGACTCTTAAAGTGTTTGCTGATACTAGCTCAAAAAGGGAAGTTGGCTTACCATTAGTTTATCGTGGATGCTAGAGAACTCTCTTACTAGAGACAACTCTGCCTTAGACACATACATGAATATATGGCTTAAGTAAGAATCTTTTCTGTAGTACATTTTTTTTTTTTCCTCTGTAGTACATTCTAACAAGCTAAAGCGTCTTTTCCTTCCCTAAGTGAATGACTCCAGCACTTTGGACATTGACTTTAAATTCATGGAAGATATTGAGAAGTCTGAAGCTCGCATAGGCATTCCCAGTACAAAGTATTCAAAAGAAACACCCTTTGTTTTTAAATTAGAAGATTACCAGGATGCAGTTATCATTCCAAGGTGGGTATTTAAGTAGAAAGCAAAGGGGTGGTGGTATTTTGTTTCAGGAGATTGACTTGGTTCGAGTGGAAACGTCATTGGGCTCTAGCACTGAGGTCACTAGTAGGAAGTTTAAGTGTCTCTTCCTGGTGGGTCTGTTCCCCCTGGTTGACTTCCACTTGTAAGAAAACACCTGGAAGTGGGGCGCCTGGGTGGCTCAGTCGTTCAGCGTCTGCCTTCGGCTCAGGTCACGATCCCAGAGTCCTGGGATCGAGCCCCGCATCGGGCTCCCTGCTTCGCGGGAGGCCTGCTTCGCCCTCTCCCGCTCTCCCTGCTTGTGTTCCCTCTCTTGCTGTGTCTCTCTCTGTCAGGTAAATAAATAAAATCTTTAAAAAAAAAAGAAAACACCTGGAAGAAACACCGTTGGCGGAGGGGTTTTACCTTGGGAAGGTCAGGTCATCTAAGTGATGTGGAAAGGCATTCTTAATCCCCAAAGTCTTAAAGGATTTGATTGTAAATAATAGCTTCCTAAACTTTTTATGAGGAATAATGAGTGGTATTAAGTGCAATGAAGAAGTAAATCAGAATGCTTTTTTTCTTATTTCGTAAAGATTTAGGGGATAGACTTTTTGAGCAATAAATTTAAATATAGGAACTTTTCATAAAATTAGAGTACTGGCTGTAATTCAGTCTTTTGATTTTTTCTTCTTCTTTGTTAAAGCCATATTTTAAATGTTAGCTCTTTGTTAAAGCCATATTTTAAATGTTAGCTCTCATCAAACTATTGGTGTCTCATTGTATTTATCCTGCCAGTGCCTTTCACATTTAGCATATTAGTAATGCAGGGTGCTTGCTTAGTTGGTGGGACACTGAAAGTTTTCTACCCTGTTTATACTGGTGAAATGAAGAGATATTTAAAGGTGCTATTTAGTGTTAATGTGTTAGCGAAGCACAAATATTTAGAATGTGGGTAATAGAGTAGAATGGAGAATCAGTTTTCAGTTAATATAAACGTACTTTTCTTCTTACACCCATTTTAAATATATTATTTGGAATTGAAATTTTCATTTATGCTATTTTTAACCTTTGAACTTACTTTAAAATCATAATTTGCATTTTCATATGAAAAATATTTGTTGAGAATAGTTGTCTTTAAGTGTATTGTTTTTCTTTATTAGATACCGTAATTTTGATCAGCCTCATCGATTTTATGTAGCTGATGTGTACACTGATCTTACGCCACTGAGTAAATTTCCTTCCCCTGAGTATGAAACTTTTGCAGAATATTATAAAACGAAGTACAACCTTGACCTGACCAATCTCAACCAGCCATTGCTGGATGTGGACCACACATCTTCAAGGTAAGGGGTTTCAGAAATGACATCTGAAATTTCGCTTGAGGCATTATTTGCGGGGGTCAGTAGACAAATGTTCAGGTTCGCTGTCCCCACTGCCCACCTGTAGACTCTGAAATCAGGAGACCCTTTGCAGGCAGAACTGCCCAGGGTGGGGTCCAGGAGTCTGCACACTGAAGGTGTGGAAACACTGTGAAGAAGGGACTTATTTTTATTTTTGTTTGATAAAATTATTTTGAAATTCTTATAGACTTAATCTTTTGACACCTCGCCATTTGAATCAGAAGGGGAAAGCTCTTCCTCTAAGCAGTGCTGAAAAGAGAAAAGCCAAGTGGGAAAGTCTGCAGAATAAACAGGTAATGTGTTAATTGTTACTAGATAATTTAATATTTTGAAAGATAAGTTTGGCTTTTATATTGTCAAGTGAACTGAGCGACATGAATTTTTTGGACGTTTCTCAACCCTTCGGTTTTGTTACGTTTTAGGTAATCCTGGGTGTTAACTTGTATTTGAATGTCTTTTTGGAAGTATGAGAGGTTTGCTTTTGTACTTGGTCCATTGATACAATTTATCCTTGTAAATCCTAGGATAAATCCCATTTGGCCTTAAAGGATCATTTTTTTAAAAGTTAGATTTTTACTAGTATTTATTATTTTTGTCTTTATCCATTAGTGAAAATGACCTTTAATTTCTTATTCTTTTGTGTGTTTGCTTTGTATTTATCCACATTTTTCCATATTCAAAGATCCTGGTTCCAGAGCTCTGTGCTATACATCCGATTCCAGCGTCACTGTGGAGAAAAGCAGTCTGTCTCCCTAGTATACTCTATCGCCTTCACTGCCTTTTGACCGCAGAGGAGCTAAGAGCCCAGACGGCCAGCGATGCTGGCGTGGGAGTCCGATCACTTCCCGTGGATTTTAGGTATGCCTGTGTCGTCAGTCGGAAAGAACACGGGTCATGAAATCCATTTGCAAAAGAACTGAATTCAGTTCAAGTTTTAATTTTATATAAAATAACTCTTAAAAGGTTAAAAAGAAAGCACGGATGTCTCATGCATGCGATAAGCACCTCCTTTGACTCCTGTGTCCTTGTAAAGTCGCGGAGGGCGAGGGGGTCCTTTGTCCTCCGGTGATGGCAGTCAGAGTGAAAACGGAAACGGTTCTTTGGAACCACACTGACCTTTTAAGGCTGCTACCCCTTTTATAAATTTATACTAAATGGCAGTTGCCTCAATATGTTCTTTGTCGTTTTCCTTTTCTTCCCACTAGGAAAGTGGCTGCATCCTCAGGAAATTACTGGCTTAACCACTCTGGGATTAATTTTGGTTATCCAGTTGTCAAGACCACAATGGTTCTAGGGATTAAGGAATGTGAAAATACAATAGTAATAGTCACAACTATGTTTGTTGAGTACTTATTACAGTGTCCAACACTGATTTAAATGCTAGAGCCTTTATTAGGTCACTTAATCATTTAGGACAGCCCTATGAGGTAGGAGTCGTTAGCCCCTCTTCCAAGTGTAGGAATCCAGGGTGCAGAGGGGTTCCGTAAATGACCTTCTGGTTAGCTGGAGGGCCTGGGATTCCAGCCCACACAGTGGCTCCCGGCCCCTGGGGCTAACCCCAAGCCTAACCACCACACCGTGCTTGCCGTAGGGCGGCGGATGGAAGCAGCACAGCGAACCATGGCCCCCTCCTGATCGACACTGTGCAGAAGTCCAGTACTGTTGATTTCTGCCTTGGAAACTTGTTTCTTTTCTAAAGCAGGAGGTGATTTATAGGGATCTTTATTTTATTTGTTTATGTTATTCACATTGTTCTTGCTCTAAGCCTAGCCCTTCTGAAGGATCTGATGAAGTCATAAAAATGTCTTTGCAGATACCCTAACCTAGACTTCGGGTGGAAAAAATCTATTGACAGCAAATCTTTCATCTCAATTGCTAACTCCTCTTCAGCTGAAAATGATAATTACTCTAAGCACAGCACAATTGTAGTCCCTGAAAATGCTGCACGTCAAGGTGCTAATAGAACCTCCTCTCTAGAAAATCATGACCAAATGTCTGTGAACTGCAGAACGTTATTCAGTGAGTCACCTGGTAAGCTCCAAATTGAAGTTTCAACAGATCTTACAGTAATTAATGGTCTTTCTTACAATAAAAATCTTGCCAATGGCAGTTATGATTTAGCTAACAGAGACTTTTGCCAAGGAAATCAGCTGAATTACTACAAGCAGGAAATACCTGTACAACCAACTACCTCATATCCCATTCAGAATTTATACAATTATGAGAACCAGCCCAAGCCCAGCGATGAATGTACTCTACTGAGTAATAAATACCTTGATGGAAATGCTAACAAATCTACCTCAGATGGAAGTCCCACGACGGCCGCGACGCCTGGTACTACCGAAGCTGTTCGAGCGCTCAAGGGCAGGTCGGGTTCTGAGAAGAGCCCATGTCCTGGGTACTCCTCGAGAACTCTTGGCCCCAATCCTGGACTTATTCTGCAGGCTTTGACCCTTTCCAATGCTAGTGATGGATTTAACCTGGAGCGGCTTGAAATGCTTGGTGATTCCTTTTTAAAGCATGCCATCACCACGTATCTGTTTTGCACTTACCCTGATGCTCATGAGGGCCGCCTTTCATATATGAGAAGCAAAAAGGTAAGAGAGACTGTTTTTATATGGAACAGTTCGAGCAACTATTCAGTGTGCCTAAGAGTGGCTTCAGGTGTTGGATGGTTTTTAGAGGATGAGGGATTGCTTAGGGCTTGTGGTGCACCTGCCCAGGGGTTGACCAAAATCTCTTTTTCACTGATGAAGCACTCAGGTTTTGGGCGGGCGTTAGCTGATGCGAATGTGCCTTATTTATTGGTAGGCATTCAGTTCTGCCAGGACCATTTGTGAGCATGTGTGTGCTCCCTGGATCCTGAGGGGGATATAAAGAAATACGTGGCATAGTTACTCAGGGGACTCGTGCTTTAATTTCATCCAGTTTAACATTTACTTGGGAGAATGCGGTCTTGGCACACGAGGCATACAGATGTGGCTAAAACGCAGGTCTTGCGTGGAGGAGCTCATCTTCAGGGTCCTAGAGCATGAGGAAGGGAAAGAGTAGCACTCCCCTAGCTCAGTGACTCTGCATTGTCGAGGGAGTGATGAGGGAGTGATGCCGGGGCTCTGAGCAAGCGGCGCTTGAGAGCCCAGAGGAAGGGTGTTCTGAAACCAGTGGGGAATTAAGATTTAAGGAAGAAAAGCAACAAAGCCAGAATGTTTCCATGACGCTAAAAGAGGTATCACAAGGCCACATGTACCTGCTTTACAGCAGCTTAGAAAGCTGCTCATTGCCCTAAACACTGAGAAGGAAGGAATATCGCTTGTGATCGGAAGGTGTTAATGGAAGAGGTGCGTTCATAGCGTGTAAACACAGTGAACGAATGGCAGAGCGTGTCAGCCCTCAGTGAATAGACTGTGGCAGCAGTCAGAAGTGTGGAAATACCTGAGAAAAGATTAAAAAGGCAGGTGGGTGAAGCTCTCTTCTCTTGTGGAAGATCTTCAATGCTAGGCGAAGGAGCTTGCACTTATTTTGAATGTTAAAGACACTTTTTTGCACCAGGGACTCTGTTTTTTTTGTTGTTGTTGTTTTTGTTTTTTGAGGGAGAGGTTGGGGGGGAGCGCAGAGCGAGAGAATCCCCAGCAGGCTCCATGCCCACCGCTGAGCCCGATGCAGGGCTCGATCTCATGACCCTGAGATCATGACCTGAGCTGAAATCGAGAGTCGGCCGCTCAACTGACTGAGCCACCAGGCACCATAAGGGACTCTTCATGTTCATGAAGTGGTAGCTGTAGATGATGGCTCTGGTATAGCAGGGTGCAGCCTGGGTTGAAAAGCAAAACCAAACTAAGCTGAGCGATCAGTTGGGCCTTCGAAGAAGTCTAAGCAAGCGGAAAGTGGGACAGTTCGAGAGTTCTGGCAGTGAGGAGAGGGCGGAGGTGAGTAGTACTTCAGAGGGAATGTGAGTTGTAGCTACGCTAAGGGCTTCCTGTAGCCAGACACTACTCCCACCACCTCACGTATCACAGGCATTACTTGCCTAATTAGGTTCTGTATACTCTTATTTTGTGATTTTATTTATAATTGTGTATACTTTTATAGTATCCCTAGTTTACAGATGAGGGGACTGGGGCAGGAGACGCTAACTGGCCTGAGGTCACATGGCACTACGTGGCGGAGCCCATTCTGGCTTTAGAGACCTTGTTCTTTACCGTCACTCTCCCCTACCTCCGATGTCACTCTCCCCTACCTCCGATGTCACACTCCCCTACCTCCGATGTCACTCTCCCCTACCTCCGAAGTCACTCTCCCCTACCTCCGAAGTCACTC